TGTCTGTTCTCGGATTTTCATGAGGAAGTCTGCCCATGCCTCAACTTGTCAACCCCCCAAGAAACTACGCATGTGCATCCGGTGCGACTCCGCCTGGCAAACTGCTTTGTCAACCCTACTCGTGATCTCAAGCCTAAACCCTAAGACCTTGCTTTCTTTGAAGGGTTCTGAAATAGCCCTAAGAGTTGACAATACCCAGGCCTTCACACCAAATCAGTCCCAAACCCTAACCCCACAACCTCCAAACCCCAAAGCCGAACCCGGCCGAACCCCAGAACCCCAGAAACCGAAAATTCCCTTAACCCGGAGGACCTTATACCCTAAACCATATACCCAAACTCCCAAGATCCCTCCCAGGTTGGCTCTTTAAACTCAACCCACAAAAAAAAAAATGACCGTATCCGCAACTCCTACACTCCCAAGCTCTGACTCTTGAACCCTAAACCCTGCTTCCTAATCCCCCAACCCTTGACCCTGAACCCTACCCCTATCTATAGCTAAAATCCCAAGCCCCAAGCCCTACATCCAAAAACCCTGAGAGCCCTTGAGCCCCTTGAGCCCACTTTCGCCCAGCCGCGTGGAGTGCCGTCTGAATCGAGGGTGGCGGCGACAGCCCCAGACACCCCTGGGCACCAAGGTGAAGCCTTGCAGCTCAGAAGCACTTCGGATTTGAGGTAGGGATAAGGGTTTGTCGGGTTCGTAGGTTTTGTAGCTGTTGCATGAGCCCTACATTGTAGGGCTTGTAGGGTTAAATGGGCTTAAAGGGTTTTTAAGGGTTTATGGGGCTCCTGGGGGTTTATCGAGTTTTTAGGGTTCAGGTTTTCGTGTGAGATGTGCCCCCAAACAAAGGGCAAGTGGATGGCAACATACTTCTGAGGCTGCAGAAGTCTTAATGAAGTGCATGGGCATCCCAAACCTTCCCTGAAACCAAGCGGTATGCCAAAACACGATGCTACTAATCGCTTTCCCCTAGAGTTAAACAACGCCCTGTGTGCAGTAGGGATTCTACATGAATAGGATGCTTCTAAGGATTTGTTTCGATATTTGGAAGGCACCTGGAACGCACGCAACGAAGCAGAATCCCAACACTTGCTGGATTCTCGCAACAAGCTCCAAACACTGAAAGGCACAACACAAGGGTCCTAGGGTCTAGGGCTGAGGGTTGAGGCAGAGGGTTTGAAGACAATTCTGACGCTTTGGGAACCACCAATACGGGAAAATCGAAACTATCCTTAAACCCAAACCCTCAACCCTCAACCCTCAACCCTCAACCCTAAACCCTAAACCCCCAACCCGCGACCCTCCAAGCAAGAAGCAAAACGAGGATCTTTTCCCGTGCGGCTCCGAAGAGCCTCCCGGAGGCTCCTTATTGGGGGGGGGGGGGGGGAAGGGGGAAAACTCGGGATCCTCTGAGGCGCCATTTTAGGGTCCTTGGGGTTTCGGTTTTTTTGGGAGTTTGGGGTTTAGGGATAGGGTTCTGGTTTTTTGGGGGTTGTTTGGGTTTAGGGGTTGAAGGGCTTTAGGGTTTAGGGTGCAGCGGTTGAGGGTTTAGGGTGCAGGATGTGGGGGTGTAGGGTTAAGGGCGCTAAGCCCTTAACCCTAAACCCTAAACCCGAAACCCTAGACCCTAAACCCTAAACCCTCACTGTGGATTCCGTTCTATGGGGATGCCGTCTGAGGGGTTAAGGGTCAGGAGCTTAGGGTGCCCCCCGTCTGATACTACGATCACCACCCTTCCTTCGGGTTTAGGCTAAGGGCGAAATCGGGGTCCTAAGCGTACACCCCATTTAGGCTTCATGTAGACCAAGGTCGTCCTAAACCCTAAACCCTAAACCCCTAAACACTGAACCCTAAACCCTAACCCCTGAACCCCAAACCCTAAACCCCAAACCCTAAACCCCAAACCCTAAACCCTAAACCCCAAACCCTAAAACCTAAACCCCAAACCCTAAACCCTAAATCCTCAGTCCCGAACCGCAAGTCCCAAACTCTGTGCATGGATAAGCCAAGGCTCTTGAAGGACGTGTCCCACGGCTTGTTGACAACAATGTGCCCTGTGCAGGGACTAGGGTTTTGACAAGGGTTTAGGGTTTAGGGTTTAGGGTTTAGGGTTTAGGGTTTAGGGTTTAGGGTTTAGGGTTTAGGGTGAAAATGACTTGAGTACGGTGCGCTGTGGGGCCTTGTCTGGCACCCTTCGGCAACTTTCAGGGCTATGCGGATCATCGGGCATGGCAAGAAAAAGGCAGAGTTGAGTCACCAAAAAATCGGTCTAGGGAGCATTGCAGTCGCAGATTTGCAAGAGGCAACGAATCCTAAACAGGTTCGGGATTTAGGGTTCATGGTCCATATCTCTCAATACATATATATACATATATACATACTCTGATAGGAATTCCAGAAGTATTGTCGGGTCTATGATTCCCAAACTATAGTCCATAAGGAAGGGCAAGTGACATGGCGTTTGCGACTGGCAAGCGCTTGAATCTCGCACCCTTTCCCACCTGGGACTTCCGCCAGAACTTCACATGAGGCGTGCCGCCGCAGCCACAAACCGCCCTGCCGCAAGCTGCCCGCGCGGCTGCACGCTGTGGCCCATGTGAGGCGCCCACGAGCAGCCATGCAAAGGCTTCCAACAGGATAAGTCCAATCTGCGTGATAGCTTTTTTGGGTGCATGTGTCAAGCTATAACCATGCCGGTTGAGGCTTGCATTACTAGCCGGGAGGGGGGGGGGGCAAAGATCAGCATGGGGCCAAGAGGTCATGGAGTGCTCGGGCTTTGGGCTGAAAGGGTTGGGTTGCAGGGTATAGCTCGTCGTTAGCAGCACTTCATGGCTGCAGCTACACTTCTGACTGGATTCCCTCCATTGGTGCCTTTTCACTCTACTTACATTTACCAAGAGCCGTTAAGTAGACCCAAAACTCTAAACCTCAAACTTGGTTTGGGTTTAGGGCTTAGGAATTTTGGGGTGTAGGAAAGTAGGGGTTTGAAACCCCTACTTTCTAGTTTAGGCTTCAGGCTTTATGCCTTGAGTGCTCAAGCAGGCACAAGCCAACTTAAGCCTGAAGCTGCGAAGGTGCCTGGACCCCGTAAACCGTGTAAACCCTGCAAACCCCGCAATCCCGGCAAACCTTTTGCAAACCCTACCATATAACCCTGGAAGCCCTGCAAACCCTAGAAAGCTTGTAAACCCAGGAAACCCTAAACTTGCCAAAGCAGACGTGACCGAGACATTCCATGATCGAGTCGGGGTTGAAGCGCTGAGGATGTGGGACGTACGGTTTAAACTGAAGTCATTGCCCTTCACTATTCCCCCTGGTTCTTTGTAGGGCATGAGGGGATGAGGGCCCTGTATATACACCCTTTTAAGGGGTGAAATAGCTGGGCCCTCATTCCCTCATTCCCTGCTACGAACCGGCCAGTATTTCAGGGGTTCAAGGTTCAGGATTCGGGGTTTAGGGTTCAGGATGCGGGGCGGGTTCTAGCGGCCGAATGACTAGGTCCCTGCAAGAAAAGTAGCTCAAGAATCCTAACCCTAAACCCTAAACCCTAAACCCTAAACCCTAAACCCTAAACCCTGAGTCCCGAAGGATGCCCCGAAGCCCTAAACCCTAAGCCCCTAAACGCCAAAACCCTTGGGATGCTCACCCTTATACTAACAGTCCTTAAGAGGGATTCTCGCACCCCCCTAGTGTAATCCCTTTTTAAGGACTGCTATAGTATAAGGGGGAACATCCCAAACTAAACCCGAATAGATCGGGCTTTGCTCGGCCATCGCAGTCTGTCACCGCCCATCGCAGTCCGTCAGAGCCCCGCGCTGCCTTGGCCCTGGTCAGAGATTCTTTGGGTTGGTTGAGGGTCTAGGGGTTCGTAGGGCTTAGGGTTTATGGGATATCGGGTTTTAGGGGTTTAGGGATTTGGGTCTAGGGGTTTAGGATTTATGGGCTATAGGGTTCAGGGTTTATAGGAAATCGGGTTTAAGGGTTTTGGGATGCCAAGAGCAGAGCTTGAGCTCCAAACCCCTAACCCCAAAACCCTAAACCCCTAAACTCCTAAACCCCTAAACCCCTAAACCCCTAAACTCCTAAACCCCTAAATCCTAAACCCTAAACCCTCAAGAACCCTGTGCAAACAAGCTGCTTGCAGCTGAGCCGCAGCCTCGAGGTCGGACTCCAGGCCTAGATGTCTGCGGCTTTCTGCGAGATTTGAGGTCTGGGGTGTTTAGGGCGGGGTTTCATAGGGCTTACAGGGTTTACAGGGCTTATCGGGTTTTTGGGGCTCAGAGGGTTTAAGGCTGAGGCTTCTTGAGGAATCTCAGTACAAGCACGACCACATCTCTCAGCTTCCATGCCGTGCAGACGTTGTGAGACTGCAACGCGGCAGTGCGCTACATCTTGGGCAGGGTTTAGGGTTCAGGGTTCAGGGTTCAGGGTTTAGGGTTTAGGGTTTAGGGTTTAGGATTTAGGGTTAAGGGTTTAGGGTTTAGGGTACAGTCTGGCATTTGCAACACAGTCGGATTCTGGAAGCGAATCGTCTGGTGTGAAACATCTCGCTCATACTCCCCCGCATCAAAGCACGAATCTACTGCTTCTTCTTGGGGAAGAAGGGAATCTAGCCCCCACACTAGAAAACCCACCCTAAACCCTAAACCCTAAACCCTAAACCCTAAACCCTAAACCCCAAACCCTAAACCCTAAACCCTAAACCCCTCTACTCTACAGTGACAGGACCTGATTCCGGCATTCCCCTGTCAGACTTCGTAGGGAAGCTTTGACACCATCCCGGTGTTGGAGCGCAGATGTCACCCCCTGTTGTGGAGACCAGAATCCCTGCTATTGGGGCCTTACTTCGGCGACTTCTACTCACATAAATAAAATACAAGTCACAACTAGTTTGCAGGTACCAAACTATACATCTTAAGTACTTACTGACTTGTGAACTCAGTTGCTGAACAGTTCAACGAGACCGAGAGCAGCGCCGCTCACATGAATATCAATGGCGGCTACACACGCCGCGCTTTGCCCGGTGCAGCCGCCGCTGCACTCCCTGCTCGCTTCTTGCGCGGCGGCCCGGGCACACAGTTGAATCTGATCTTTGCGAACTCGCAAGATGACTCGAAGTTGACCTGGCAGCGGCGCAGCAGTTTTCCCCAGACCTCTCGGTCCGACGCACCGATTCCCAACTCCGAGTCGCTCTTGCTGAGCAGGGTGGTTCGCCAGTAAGCCGAGATCTTGTGCATCAACTGAGCAACCGCTTCTGGGCACTCATTGTCATGCATCCAGTAGGTGTCGTCATCCATCGTCATGGTCAAAGCAAGCAGGGAACAAAGCTTGGAGGGTAGCACTGCCTTGCCCCTCAACTCCTTGGCTGCCTCAAACTCCGCATCAAAGATGGCTACTTTGAGATTCCCGGAGTCGGTACTCCCTTTCCGCACCCGCGACCGAATGCTGGATGTCTCCCCAAACCCATACCAACAATGCTTTCGCATGCGCTGCCGCGTTGCGGAGAACTCGGCCGGCAGCCACAGCACATCTGTGTTCTCGGCGGAAAGCTCTTCTTTGCTCTCCTCCTCCTCCTCATCTTCTTCTCCTGAGGGCTTGGGGTCATTCTTCGGCAGCATGAGATAGGTCATTCGGCCCCCGAGCTGTCGCTTTCGGGCAAGGAGCTCCTCCTCAAATAAATTCCTCTCCAGGAACTCGACCACTTCGAAAGCAACAGCAGCGCCTGGCTTGGTTGCGCGTGGCTCGGGGAAGTGCATCATCCCGCCGATGTGTTCTGGAAGGTCTGGACGTGACGCGCCGCATCGTGCTGGCCCAAGGGCGACGTTGAGGCCCAGGTTCTCGAGCATTGATTCGACTGCAGTCTGTATGGCTGTGTTTTTGGGCATCTCGCAGCTTGCCAGCAACACAAGGTCCGAAAATGCTTTGGAGGTTGCAGGCGGAGCGCCCGCGTGCACAGACGTCCCCGCGGGTGCAGTGTGGAGCCACTCGGTATACCCCTCAGGGCTACCCGACTGCCGACCTGAAGCCTTCCTGTGCTGCTGGGACCCAAAGAACTTGGCTGGGTCACCTGCCTTGAGGCTGGCAGCCAGCGCGTCCAGCATCTTGTCCCGATTGATCACCACCTGAACAGTAACGACGTCTGGGCAGAGATTACCACTGGGCTACCAAGGTACGAAGTTTGAAGGGCCAAGGTTCTCCAGTCCAAAGAAGGGCTCCATCTCGGACAGCTTGTCTTGGACTTCGGCAGCCCAGGAAAGCTTGGCAGAATAGCTCGATTCCGGCCCCGGGAACCTTGCAGAACGAAATGGCGCCCGGAGGCTCTAAACAAACCCCACAACTTCGAGAACGACACGACCGCTACAGTCATCACTCAGAGCATGATACATTACAGCAAACTCGCCTCCCCCCCCCCCCCCCCCCCCCACGTGATGTTGCCCGGCCGAAGATGTCCTTGCAAATACCTTGCTTTTCCTGCTCATGCCCCCAAACCTGAAAAGGCTCCTACTACTACTACTACTACTACTACTACTACTACTACTACTACTGCTGCTACTACTACTACTACAATAACTACTACTGATATTACTACTGCGTCTTCTACTACAAAAACTTCTTCGACTACGCTTCTTCTTCTAACAAATGAACCGCAGTTGATGCTTCCAGGCAAAAGCCAGGACACTGCGCGCGCAAAGCAGCCGTCCGATCGCGCTGTTGACTGGCGTCCTCACAGCCAAGGATACCCTACACCCTAAACTCTAAGCTTTCTGGAGGCCAACCCAACTACTTGTCGAAGAACAGACATATTGTCATTGGAGAAATTAGTACTTTTCTGATGCCACTTGGCAAAAAACAACACCGTGCCGGTGTTCCGGGCATGTTTGGCAAAAGTCACGAACGCTTCAGACAGCGCGTCTTGAAACGTCAAGCATCCTTCTGCCGCAATGTATGTTATGCCAGGAAGCAGATAGCTGTACGCACCCGTGTTCTGGGCATGTTCCCAAAACCCACAACTCTTCGGCTTTTGGCCTTTCAACCCATTGAACATATCTACTGTAGGAGCCAATAATTAGAACAGGGTTTTGGGGGGGGGGGGGTTATTATAGTATAAATACAAAGGCCCCATAAGGGAATATTACTGGTAATATAAAGCCGTCAATCTCAGGATCTGAGTTCAGGACATGGCCATTTACAGCTCATGTTCTCGGACGCTTTGCGCAACAATAATATAGGGGCCTTAATAATTGGAATAGGGTTTTGGTGGTTAATATCGTATGTTTATACAGGGACCATAAGGGAGTACTACTAGCAACTAGTCATATCCCTATATTACCGCAGGAGACTTCTTGACGTTTCTGGGGACCCAGACTCACCATCACAAAATGAGGTTGGCTTGGGGGATATTTTGTACTTTCCATATTTTTTGGGTTCATAAGGGACCCTTCGAAACCCTATGAACACCCAAGTTTGTGACCGTGCAGAAGCCCCAAAGAAAGCACTACACCCCAAACCCTAAACCCTCAACCCCTAACCCCTAACCCCTAAACCCCAAACCCTAAACCCTAAGCCCCAAACCCTAAACCCGGGAGCCCTTCGGGGCGCGCTGGCGCCTCCCGAAGCTCACGACGGGACGAGATCAGCCAGGGCGCATCGTCGGGTGGGCAGTCCTCCCAAAATCAAAACCCTAAACCCTAAACCCTAAACCCTAAACCCTAAACCCTAAACCCTAAACCTTAAACCTTAAACCCCAAACCCTAGCTGAGGATTTAGGATTTAATTTAAGGCTTCAGGTACAGGATTCAGGGTTGAGGGTCGAGGAGTCAAACGATTTTCCAGTTTTGAGTGACACGCAGGGGGCCCATGGATTTTTCTTACTCCTGATGATGATATGCAATTATACCAGGTTTAGGCTCGTCATGCTGCCTTAGTGGGCCATATAACATGTTGACGTTTCAGGAGGAGTACGCGAGAACACTTCTGTACCAGCATGCCACGAAAAAGTCTTCAGGGATTAGGTTCTGGGTTTCAGGGTTCAGCGATTCTGCCGTCCTCTGCCAAGACAATGTACCGGACCATGACCCTGCAAGCGGCAGAAGCAGGTACTGATGACTCGGTGACTCCTGACCAAGAAATGCTCGAGCCAACAGCAGCAAGGCCCTAAACCCTAAACCCTAAACCCCCTCAACCCCTAAACCCAAAAACCCTAAACATGCTTGAGCCAACAGCAGCAAGGCCCTGAGTTCCTACACTTTAAGCACAGAGCTTGAATACCTAGAATGGCCCCTGAAACCCTCTGAAAAATATTCCTGAATATGAATATGAACCTGTTAACACCCAATAAGGGGAAACATAAAATGCCCCCAAGGACTGACCTTCATGCGGTTAAGGTTCTGTACATCCTGCTTACCAATCCCCTCCCCTAAGCTTGGACAGCACCCTAGTGCCACAATCACATCAGTAGTGGTTTCGCAACGGAGTATACGAAGAAACAAAAGAAAAGTGCCATGAAGCTTAGGGCTTAGGGCAGTGTAGGGTTGTTCTGTGATACAACACGGCAGCATGACTGACAGAAACACTTCCACTTGAAAACTTGCAGGTCTTTAAACAGCCTAAACAGCCTAAAGCCTAAACCCTAAACCCTATGACCCTATAACCCCGAACTTGGCCCCTGTGTTGAGGCACGCCATTGATGGGCAGCAGGAACCCAGCAGAGGTTTAGGCTTTACGGTTTCAGCGTGTTTCTCGCGTTTGGGGACGCTTTTCGGAATTCTTTGCACAATTGTAGGCTGAAGTTTGTCCCTGAGGTGTCTTGTATGAGTGCATATGCAGCCTCACATGCTTCTAACAAACGGGCTGCTTTCTCCGCGTGAGAAGAAGCCTGGTAACGGGTTTAGTGATATCCGTCCTTTAACTGCTTCTTACCTTTTCGGGGTTCTCACAACCAGGCACCCTAACCCTAAACCCTAAATCCTAAACCCTAAACCCTTGGGTTTGGGGACCTGTTTCCAAAGATCCTCTAAAGGAATATAAGTTGGGATGTTCCCCCATTATACTAGTCGTCCTTAATAGGGATTCTAGTACCCCCCCCGCCCCCAATTATAATCCCTACTAAGGACTGTTAGTATAAGGGGGAACATCCCAAAATATAAGGCCTGAGGGTTCCAAGTTCGACTCAAGCTTTCGACTTCCTTAATGACACCCTCAACCCCACCCCCTCAAACCATAAGACACAAACCCATGAACCCATGAACCCATGATCCCATGAACCCTCAACCCTAAACCCTCAACCCTAAACCCCAAACCCTTAACCCTAAACCCTCAACCCTAACCCCTATACTTCCGCAATCGCAACTTGGGTGCGTTCTCTGAGCGGCCCCTCGGAAAGCATCGGCTCGCATGGCTCTGGCACATGGAGGCACTGAAAGTGTAGCCGTTGCTGCTAAAGATTTACTTTGGGGTTTAGGGTTTATGGTTTAGGGTTGAAGGTCTCTTAAGTTGGGATGTTCCCCCTTATACTAACAGTCCTTAGTCGGGATTATAATAGGGGGTACTAGAATCCCTATCAAGGACTGCTAGTATAAGGGGGACATCCCAAGATATGCGGGCTTCGGGTTTAGGACTTAGGGCTTCGGAGTTTGGGGTTCAGGGTTCTTAGCAATGCGCCAAAACATGGACCCCCTTCTAGTGTGAAGTAGGGCGTAGGGTTTTGGGTGCTTAGTCGTTCGCAAAGGTATGGACCGTTTTGGCGTCCCAAATCATAATGCGGAGCCCACCAGCCCCGAAACCTCCCCCCCCCCCCCCACCGAAAAAAATAGGAGGGAGAACCCTGAATCTAGCAAGCTGCTTGCTTTATGCGCTGGAATCAATATGTCAGCACTCGCTCCTGATCTTACCAACGCTCCGCCAGTCCGGAGTAAAATCGGGTTTAGGGTTTATAGGGTTTGGGGTTTAGGGTTTAGATATGGTCGCCACGAGGATTCAAAGCTCAAATCCCAACAACATGCCAGACCGGTGGGTTGTTGCTGCTTGGAGGCTTGACCTGATACCTTGCCCAAACCCGCCTAGCTACTAAACGCCGGGCACTTCTTTCATAAGTAAGGCCAAATGCCTTTCGCATGGAGAGGGCCACAAAAAACACGCAGCCGCTTACTCAGAACGGCTTCTCAACGCCAATTTTTCTCACAACCGCGCCATGCGCTCAGCGCGGGTAGTGCAGAGCTCACAGCCTTGGCCCCCGAGATATCACATGGAGTACGTTCCCCGGCAGCCTTCCCCACTTCTGAGGCCGGTGCGAGGACAAAACAGCACAAGTGAAGCCCCCCAGAAGCGGCGCCACAAGCCCCAAACCTTATAAAAGGTCTGTACAAATTCTCTAAGCCCTCTTTTCCAGCCATGTGAAAAAGCCCTATTCTGAAGCCCTCTGTAAAAAAGACTCTAAACCTGATAGACCCAGTCTCAGGGCCAAGCTCTCGCCAGCTATTCGCATGTGTCGATTGCCAAGAAGGCTTCCAGGACCTAAGAGCGCTTCTCAAAGTTAGGGTTTAGGGTTTAGGGTTTAGGGTTTAGGGTTTAGGGCTTAGGGCTTAGGGCTTAGTCGTGCTTCTACAATAAGGATATTACGACCTGAAACCCTGAACCATCCACACGATCGCATGGATGCTGAACGGTGCCTCCAAGTGATAAGGGCATGTTGGGCTTTTGCCCCTCTTTCTTTCTGTTTGTTTTTTCTTTGGGGGGGGGGGGGGGGGGGGGGGGGGGGGGGGGGGGGGGGGGAGTTTAGGCTTTAGGGTTTAGGTCAAGGGTTTGGAGGGGCTGTACATGAGCAACGCGATGCATCTTCAGGTAGGTGGCCCGGAGACCCCACCCCCCACTCCACACTCTTAAACCCTAAACCCTAAACCCTAAACCCTAAACCCTAAACCCTAAACCTTGTTGCACGGGCACCCCGTCCCCGTTCGGTGATCACAGCCCGGCTTCCACCGATGTTGATTTCGTAGTCCAATCTCTTCTATACTCCCCTTTAGAACCTTAGCAAAAACAGTGTTTTTCTATGTTTTCTTCGGTTTTGTAACATAAATACACATACAAAATGAATTCCTAAGGG